ATGATCTTAATATCATGAATAATAATAAAATGTTTCATTTTTACCGTCGCATTAGTAAAAAAGAAGTTAAGGAGACTTTAAAGAAAACAAAGGGTGGAAAAAGGGTGGAAAGTTTATATTAGTATGATCCGATGATATCCTTATTGAAGAGAAGAAATATTTAGGAGATTTGTGAGTTTCTTGGCTTACACGGAGCGACCTCAAGTAAATATCTATTTTTTTCTTTTAGCGATCCCGTTTTTTTGAGGAGTATCCACACAAGAACTTATTTGAATAATACCATGCATGGGAAAATAAGGACTAAGGATGAAATTAAATTATTCTTTAGAATTATTAGTTTTAAGAATTTGAATTTTGCTTCAGAATTGAGTGATCATAATCAATTTGGATTTACTCCAAGCAGGTCTACTATGAAAGCTATACATTTATTGAGCGGTTTGATGGAGAAGTTCAGAGATAATAAGCAGAATCTACATTTGATTTTTATTGCTACATTTGATTTTTATTGTAAGGTTCCAAGAGATATCCTTTCGAGGATAAGGTTCCAAGAGATATCCTTTGAAGAGTTCTTGAGAAGAAAGATGTTGATATGACTTATGTGCAAGTCATTAAAGATTTGTATACAAGAACTGCGGAGCTGTTACTTGTGTTCGAACTGAAAGAATATTGACCAAATATTTTCCTAATTCTGTTGGATTACATTAGGGATAGGCTTTAAGCCCATATCCTTTTGTTTTAATTATGGATGGTCTTACTGGACATCTACAGGAGGATATACCTTGGTGTATGTTTTTTGCTAATGATATTCTTCTCATGGAAAAGGCGAGAGAAAAAGGTCAGGAAAAACTTGAATTATGGAGGTCTACATTGGGGTCTAAAGGTCTTCATTTAAGTAGAACTAAAAGTGAATACATGGGATGTAATTTTAGTAGTAATAGCTCTAGTGACAAAAGTGTGACTTTGGGTGATCAAATTATTAAAAAGTGTGAACAATTTAAATATCTTGGGTCAGTTGTTCAAAGCGATGGTGATACAAAACAAAAAAAAAAAAAAAAAAACAAAAAAAAACAAAAAAAAAAAGTTGGTTGAAGTGGATAAATACTTCGAGCCTTTTGTGTGATTAAAAAGTATCACTTAGACTGAAAGGAAAATATTATAAGACGGTTGTGAGACATGCAATGTTGTATGACACTGAATGTTGGCCTTTGAAAGAGAAGCATAATAATAAGTTAAGTGTTATCGAAATGAGAATGATTAGGTGGATGAGTGGCTTTACACTTAGAGATGAAATGCGAGATGAATATATCCGTGATAAGGTTGGTGTAGCTTCTGTGACAAACAATATTAGAGAAAGTAGTCTTAGATGGTTTGGTCACATTAAACGTCGACTATCTGATGATCCGATTAGGTGAGTAAATGCTTTAGATTCGACTTATGTTAAGAAAAGCAGAGGTAGACCTAGGAAGACTTGGGCTTATTGTATTGAAAATGATCTTAATTTACTAGAACTAAATGAAATATATAGGGCGCAATGGAGAAAAATGATTATGTAGTCGACCCCACGTAGTGGGATTAAGGCTTCGTTGTTGTTGTTGATTGCTTATTCTCATTTTAGTAATTCTAAACCCTTGAGGCAGACTGTAATAATTAATCAATATTTTATTTAAACTATAATCATTTATATTATATAACTTAAGTTCAAAATCAAGACTATGGATACATTTGTTTAATCAATTCTATTGAGAACAAAAGAGCTCACGGAGAGTTTGAAGTGTGGAATACTTCATAGAGACCTCAAGTCATCTTCATAAATTATTCATATACGATCCAAGGATTTTAAATAGGTTTTTTTTTTCAACAAATAAAATATTTGTGCATTTCAAAATTATAAAATTATTTCATTAGTAATAAGTCAATCCTTCTTGTTAAGTGTAGTTGTTGAAGTAGGAGCTCCAACTATACGACGACTATTTGAAGGTACAACCGACTCAAAGATGTCTTGATAGGCATTAGATCTTCAATGTCAAGCATGAGACTAAATTAATTTTTTAGGCAAATCAATCAAATAAACTTCTTCACCTAATTTCAATAAATATTTATAGGCAATGAAAAATTTTTCATAGATCTATGAAAGCATATTGGTTTAATTATTACAGGTACAAAAAATCCATTCTTTTCTCTCTCATACACATTAAAAATAGTTTTATATTTCTCATCTTATTTGTTAATTTACCATTTCATATCGGTGTGAAGTGTATGTATAAGCTCAACTAAAATGTATTGAATTCAAAATATGATGTATGCTAGAGTAATGACACGTGATTTTTAAGAAACTAACTTATGCAAGGTGTATTATTTACCTGGACTGGTTCTGTCCGGGGGTTATTAAGCGTCGACCAACCCTCTAGTCTTGGGAGTGTTGCCTCTATCTAAGAGAGGACTCACTTCTAGTTATCTAGGACTATATATTGCTTTTGTTGGTATTTAGAGTTTAGGTTCTCTGTGATTTGCTTTAGGACAACTGTCGACATCTCCTCTCTCTACGGGTTGTATCCTAGAATTCCAAGACATGCTCTGATTGTATCTTTGTTTTCGGGTGGTGTTTATCTTTCCTATATCTTTCTCCCATCCTCTCCCGCATCGCCACCGCATTCCCTTCATTGTTTGCTTGTTGCCACTGCCCAAATAATAGAAAACCTGTTGTTATCTGTGTCCAACCTGATGCCACCGCCCAGGAGCAATAGTTACCTTTCTATCCTCCCCTAACCGGTACCCCTACACCCTATTCTTTAGTATTTTTCATTGTTGTTTTTAGTTTGGTGTATTTTCAATTTTAGCTTCTATAAAATTAGTAGTGCTAGTGTTGTATTTCTATTCGCCTTATTTCCATACTGACTCCAATATCACTACCACAATTGACTTCAAAATGAGATTTCTTGTCAGTATGGTGCACATAACAATTGTAAGTAAACTCATTACTAGAAGCATTATATTTCATGTGTCTAAACAACCACCAAATATTGATAGATTACCTAAACTTTTATTAACCGTTTTTACTTATTCATGGATCGATAAATGGAAAGAAAAATATATTTTTTTAAGCTGACAAAATAGGTTCTATAAGTTCTACAAAAGTGGCCAACAAAAGTTGCCTTAAATAAAAATCCTATAAACATTAATGATTTTAGTGCATTCCATGATGTATGTTAATTTAGAAAATCATCTATTACAAGAAGTGTAAAACCATAACCGCAGGAAGTTTAAGTTAAGCTTAAAAATCTACAATCAAATTAGTTCATGGAGCATTTAAAAAAGATAAACAAGTGTAGAGCCGAAAGATTGTTTACTAATATGATTGACATCATATTTTAAGGAATGCCAACAGAAACATGATAAGACTAACACTGTAGTTGTATATGGAACAAGATGTTCAACTAGTTCATCTTGAAATTTTCAAATGGAAAAAGTCACAAAGTGGAAGTATGAATTAACCATAACTAATAAATACATATCCATCAATACTTCATATTCAAACGAAACGTCTGGTAGAGTAGCCTTGAAAAATTCCAATAATCTATTAAATTTAGGTACTTAAATGGAAACAGTGGTCAACATAGAATATATGTGATTGTAGGCTTCAGCTGCTAGTTATTACCATTCACTCTTATGTCTAACCACAATAATGAACTCTAGGAGATATGCAACCCATTTATATCATGTCTAGATTTTTTTTTTTATTCTTTTTTTTTTTTTTTTTTTTTGTAGATACTTCATAACTCATAATCAAACCATAACACAAATTTTTGTAAAGCAAAGTTTGTATTTAGTTTAGGTGTTTGAACTAAAGCATGAAATTCATCATCCTATGTCATGCATATTTTTTCTTTACAAGGTCTGTTTCTTGCTAAAGCAATCAATCGACTTATAACACCATCAATGGTAACACCAAAGACATCACATGATTTTATTCAAGAAGTCGAGTTATCAAAAAACTGAATGACAACAACCAATTCTTTAATAACATCCTAGAATTTATTAGCAAAAGCTGGCCAACGATACAAGGCATGCTCAATACATTCTTCAAAGGATCCATAAATGCTACCACAACCCTTAATGCATGAATTTTTTTCAGGCCCGAACATGTCCGGTACACACCTCAAATATAGAGCTATTAAATATCAAGCATGAAAAGATACGTATCCAAGTATCTTAACAAATTTTCCTAAAACTTGATAACCCAAAAGCTGTATAAAATCACATGCATCTTACCTCTCTGAAAATCAATAACATATTGAAATAAATTACAAACTCAGTGAAATAATCAGTACTAAAGGAAGATTTTATAAGTGGAAAGAAAACATGCATGCTCAGCTATGATTAGTATGAGTGACAACAGTAAAAACAAACATGCTTTGTTCACATGAAATATGTAAATAAGAGTATAGAAGCAGTAAATAATAATAAATTTTAGCAAACATGTATTTTATTCATCTCTTACACAATCATATGAATGTCTTTAATACTTGTAACTCAATATCTGTTGTCTTAGGAATGTTACTTATACTTGCATAGGCTTTGACTTAATTCATTTCTTTGGGTTGTCATCTAGCCTATTGGCTATGATAGCTGCTGATAAAGATTAGCCATCTCCTTATCAAAAACCCTCTAATACTAACAAATCTGTTCCAGTTTCAATATCAACAACAACAACAAAGCCTTAATCCCACTATGTGGGGTCGGCTACATGAATCCTTTTTCTCCATTGCGTCCTATTTAGTGTCATATTTTATATGTCAAGCTAAGAACTAGGGGAAAAGTTGTTTCTTGTAGATATCAGTTTTCCGAAAGGAAAGCATGCAAAATGGAGAGTTTAAACTATGAAAAAAAATAAACACAGTAAACACTATAGAAAGAATTTTTAAAATTCTGCTATCAATACTTAGAACTGAAATTTTCTGTAGTTCATACAGCAAATTTAAGAAAAGAGGTTAGATGAAAACCTGACAATGGATGGCATCGATGCAAGTAGGACAGCGCAGGCATAAATAATTGGGATTACAATTTTGGGTTTGTTCTTCCTAAGCCACATCAGTGATACCAATGCAGCAAGTGATAAATTCAGAACCTGAAAAGAAGAAAGAAGAAAAAATGATTTTCATCCATGAAAGGTACCTGCACTTGAATTACTTTTCATGAAAATGAATATTCCCTTTTTGTGAGAAATTAATCTTATTCATTTTGAACATCTTCCATCCACGTTACCATAGATCTACCATTTTTTAAACCTATACTTTGCAAGTCCTTTTGAATAACTTATATCTATGTTGATCTTCTCATTCCAAGTCCCCTGACCAATCAATGTGATAGCATGTTTGATGAAACATTAATCATGCCACTCAACAGGGACATTTTCCACCATTTCAATTACAAATCGCATATGCTCATTAAAGGTCACTCCAACCACCCCTCCAATTTAATCATTCATTTATCCTACTACTTTTGTCATACATCTACCTTAACAATCGAATCATACTCAAAAAGCTATCAACAACCACTTTACTATCCAATACTCAGATCCATATAACATCATTGGCCAAACTATAGAGCTTTAAAAAATCTATCTTAGTTTTCATGATATCCTCTTAATGGCACAGTATATGCTGAGCTATTCATCAATTTTAATCACTGAGCCTTAACGCTACAAGAAATATCCTAATTTATACCCACATTCTTCTATATAATAAATCCAATATATTTAAATATATCAAAATTAGGTATCACTTTATCGTGTTGAATAAAAGATCATACTAGTCAATATAACTTTTAAATTCGTCCATTTTAATTCCAATTTTTTTCAAGTGTTTTAATTAGTTCATCTGCTCAACAAATACTAACCAAATTTGTCATTTTGTTAGCTTTGTCATTTTCTTTAGACGGAAATCAGTGGCATACAACTTTTCATGTGGGCATTTTGAACTTCTACGATTAATCCCATTAATTTGAGCCAAAAATAAATTTCGCTATATTTATTTTTAGTTAGTGTCAAAAGCATCATGTTGATCCATATTATGCATATAATTCTTTTTTCTTCTAAAAAATCATTGCTTGTAACCATGATTAATTCTTGTGTCTGTTTGGTTTAGTTTAATTTGATTTTACGTTTATTTGTACTAGAAACACAATTTATAAACAATAAATTTAGGAATAACAATTTATATTTGAATAGATAGCTTGACATGACATGCATTCACATGATTCAATTTAATTCAATTTTTCGATTTAACTAAAACTCAAATGAAAATTAAGAGATAACAATTGATTTATGCAAATATACGAAATCAAAACCAAATTAGACAAAATTGAACGATTTTCAATTCAGGCAATTTTTCCTATTCCTAGCACAATATTAAATTTTCAATGGCACAAAACCATATTATTTATCTGAAATTAATATAATGTTTCAATATTTATGTTTACTCTTACATAGCTAAATTATATTTTTATAAAATCGATTCCTCCATTACTAGCACAATATTATACATCCCTATAATCTTAAATATTAATATCAAACTGTTTATTCTCTAATCATTTGGAATCAGTTTAGACTTTAAAATTTCATTGAAAAGACTAACTAAATTAAATCTCCTATATCTCATGATTCGCTAAATTTTAGATATCCCATCTAGACCTAATGCAATTTCTTCAGAAACACTTCACATTTTCAGATTAAGCTATGGCAGACCACATTATGTTATTCATTACACTCATCCAAAATAATGTCTTCCTTGAGAAAACCTTAATAATATCTCAAACGGGCATTTCCATATTTACATATTATATATATTTACTAATACCGCTTCTAATGCATCTAATTCAATCAAAAACCATAGGGAGCGTTTTTCCTGCCTTGACCATTTTATCTTATCCAATTTCTTTCTCCTAAGTGTCTATAATTGAATATATAAAAGTTGTAGATTTATAAAGTTACCATAGAATAGTACTTAGGCTTTGTTAATGCAACATATAAAACTGCCATGGAATACTGCTAAGGGTTTCTTTGGTAACAGCACCCAGCTTCTGCAGCTATGTTCTTTTCTACCAGGACAATTGCGGGGAATTAGAAGAGATGGTGCTGATCAAGATGGGTGAGCAGTATAGCTTCCGACCAAGGACTACACTTTCAGCACTTGGTGTGGCAGTTCCAAAAATGTCTTTTTACATTGAAAATAATCTTGCGAGCTTTAGAATGTACGAAAAGATTCTATTATAATTAACAAAAGTTATTTCTAGTAAAAAAAACTTTTAGTTAAAAAAATTGTGTGATTTCTGACTTGAAGTAGAGAGGGTAGCAATCAGCAAGTGTAAGCCATAATCCTAATAAAACATAACCTTAATTCCATACAAAATCAGAGTTCCCTGAAAATTTGCTAAAAAAAAAAACATTACTAGAACGTTTAAATAAAAAGCATTAGTACTGGCATGTTTTTTAATGCCAAAATGATATCTATAATTCTATATTTTTAATCGTTAATGCCTTAGCAATTGAGCAGTGTATATGGCGCAATTTCAATGTTAAAGAAAAATGCAGACCAGATTCGCATTTGCTTCAAGGCCTTGGAATATGTATTCCCACGTAAATTCCAAGCCTCTAGCACCAATCCAGAGAGGTGCCAGCCTGTATAGAACTGAATCAGCAAATGCCCATCCTGCAATGATCAAAGAGGTTGCTATCAGTAATGGTTTCCATGGTGATCCAACTCCTTTGAAGTAGAATCTCAACATTGTTTCTTATTAAGACTACATATTGAATGTGGTACCTAAAATCACAACATATCCTCAAAAGATAAAAGTGCAATTGATTCATACCCCAACTATAATTTTCATGGCTACATCAAGGTATAAGAGTAGCGTTTAATTTTTAATGAAAACCACATGATGGGTACAATTGCAGAAAAATGAAGTATCAAATACATAATTGAGGCATAAAATATTTAATTAATATTCTTCCATAATATTGAGTTCTTAAGATCAATGATGCACAAATCGTGAAGCAATTCATTAATAAAAATGATGTGCTAACCCAATTGCTCGAAATGGAAATGCAATTAACGTAGAATTAAACAAATCAATAACTTTGATGTTGACACTAAAACTGGCCTATATGTGGTAGGATATTGTTTGCATGGTATAACTTAAATGAAAATGTCAAGATCTGTAATTGTATTCAGATCGTAAAGATAACTTTCTGATAAAGTATATTTCTGGCCCAAAAATTTCATCTAAAGGAAATTCAAAAAACAATAAGGTGGGGCTGATTTTACATGATTCAATTGAACCAATGATCTAACAAACTCAAAATCGCATGAAAGACTTGAGACAAGATCCAGTACAAATAATCCCTAAAAGACAAACAAGCAAAGTTAGACCGGTTTGGGCTTTAGTTTATTTCAACATGCAACTAGATGTAAGACCCAAGATCTTCATGACCAGGGTGGAGTTGGTGGCCTTGTTTATGGCAGCAAATAAAGACAACCAAACTAACCGACCACATTTGCCCACCACAAGTAGCACATTGAGTGCATCCATTTCAGATAGAATGCACACATTACCATATAATACGTTCTCAAAAAGTAGAACTTGCTGAATTTGTTCCACATCTAATACACGATTGAGTGAGGAGTTGTTCATCTTCAAATGCTTTTCTCGGGAAATTATCAAACATGCAAAATTGTGAGAAAGTCACATGTTTCCTATAGGTAGCACATTGATTGCATCCATTTCCGATGGAATGCACTCATTACCATATTATACGTTCTCAAGTTGTAGAACTTGCTGAATTTGTTGCACATCTAATGCACCATTGAGTGAGGAGTTGCTCATCTTCAAATGCTTTTCTTGGGAAAATATTATACATGCAAAATTTGTGAGATAATCACATGTTTCCTATAGGTATAATCATGAAGCAATGAGTCTTTTGGAATTCTTGCTACCAATACAATCATTTAAACATTGATCTATCACCATTAATTCTCTCATAAGCTCATTGATTATTATATAAAACATCTAGAATATAATATGAGGTGTCAACGGGATTAGCATAGGCACTCCAAAAGGGGGGATAGATTGGGTGTTCATGAGCACTTCAATAATATCATTCAAAATCTTTCCTATTTAAAAACCCAGTCAATCAAGCATGCACGAGTAAATAAAAACGAACTGTTAGATTGCTTTTTCTATGCTTCCTCGGCAAAGGAATGGTTGATCAGTACTTGACAATACGACATTGAGAATAGTAGAAGCGAGCCGATCTCAATGGAGTTTGAGCAGTTTGTGCTGCTGAAGGACACCATCTTTGATGTGAGGAGTTTCCTAGATGACGTCTTAATGGGGAAAATGTTAGTAAGTACTTTCCTCTTTTACAAGATCAGCATGGACGAGTTTCATGCAACTCTGATGAATTCGTAACATTCATTTTTGATAGCTCATATATAAAGCAAACACAAGAAGGATAATGAAGCATTTCCCCCGATAGAGGGCGATCAAGTTGCCACGATAAGTGGGGTAAGTTTCAAACAAACTGTCAGTTTCTATTTCAAAATGTGATTTCCTAACTATTTTAGGTTTGTGGCAGAACAAATTACAAATGATTGAGCAGTAGAATGCTGAGATTCATCTCCTAGGCATGTCAAATTACTTGGTCTAAATATGTCCTTCCGAAGTACTAATTCAAATGAACCAACAAACAAATGATCATTGGAAAAAAACACATTTTCTTCTAGGTCTTGAAGGAAGGATGCTCGACCCAACTTTGACAAAAGGAGAGGTGGGACCCTCCACAATCGGAGAGATCTAGCAGTCAATTGGGGTAAAGGTTTGTCCAACCACGACTCTGGAGATTGCCATGTCGAGGTTGTTGCCGACTGAAGAGGCTACTCGGTCGTTGGACCTGTTGACCTCATTTTTGTGAGGTCTTTTCTTCTCCTCCTTAGAGCCTAGGTTCTAGCTCTAGAAATTCCTATGGACCATCTTAGAAAACTAGAATTGAGACTCACCCTTCTAGAAATTCCAGCCAATTCTTATTTTCCTTTGATGTCTAGCATCTTTGGCACAAGACCATCGTCTTATGAACGAGCGGTTATGGGCTATGTTGCGTAGATTCAAGGAAAATGTTCCAAATAGGACTTCAAGCCTTAGGAAAACATCGTCACGACCTTTTTCGTCACATACACACATCAAATACACAAAGTTCACGAAATTGCACGAAATCGGACTTCAATTAAGCCCAAAGGACGGGTGAAGATGCGAACTTTTCCGGATGACCTCCGACGACAAAATGGACTGCACCAACGCGTCCGGGATACCCATTTTGGTAGGAAAGGACACCCATATTGCCATA